CAAACAAACAAGGGGCAGACGCCAGTAAAAGGGGGTTGGGGGTTCAGAAGGTCGAATCGAAGCGAGTGGGTGGATGGACAGGCGTCATAGGTCGGGCCCCTTATTTATTTCCAATTCCATTGCCTCTGCCCCTCTGTGTCATTTGTTGGGTAAAATGTTTTTCCAAACCCCTCCACTCCCCAGGAAGGGGTGGAAATTTGGTAGAAAAAAAGGGAGAGAGAATAGATTCAAGTTCAGGATGCAAGGGTCCTTACTGGGATTGAATTATTTTCAGGCTCTACATGTGACACACGCCTTTAAAAGAAGTTTCGAGATACTCCAGAAAGCTCTGGTTCTAATTTAAAAGTTCTATAATATTCCTTAAATATATAACTGCTTCGATTTTCCATCAATACATTTCTATTTCTATTATTTTTCACCAGAATTTCAACGTTTATTGCCAGTTCTTCGACAGAATTGTTGGAAATAGAATCAAATATAGAGAATTTCCTAGGAAAAGTTACTCCACCTCTCTCTCTCACTCTCTCTTGGGGCTGTAACCCTGCGGTTTTCCCTTGCTTTTCTTTTTGTTTTTTAAGGATTCAGTGTTCAGGATTTAAAGAATCGCCCAAAGACACGTACGAACACTGCGACGATATGGGGAGGGGAAATTGGGGGGAAAAATCAATGGAAATTTATGTGACTCAAATATAAAACAATTTTTATTTCCAAAAGCCCGCTTGCCCAGCCATACATGGCGATATTTTCCACAATTTTTGTACGTTTATTTCGAAATTTCTCTCGAATGCAACGGCAGTGAAAGCATTTCCCAGGGGCGGTTTTTCCGAGGCGAGAGGGGAGGGGCTTAAATTCGTGTGCATTGTGCATGCTTAATTGAGTTGTCCTCCCCTACACCCTCCATACCCACCTCCATTTCCACCTCCATTTCCACCTCCTCGGTCCATTTCATTTCTTTTTCTTCCTGTTTCTGTTGCCCGCGCTTTCGGAGAACGGAAGTGGGCGAGGACACACACACGTGTCCTGCGAGTGTGTCCTGTGTGTGTGTGTGTGTGTGGCAAACAGTTTATCGGGACAGCCACTCGGGCACTCCAAATCCAGGCCCCTCCTCGCGTACAACAACATCGCTTCACTTGATTTCCATGTCACTGACAAAACACATTTCGCCCTCTCGTCCGTCATCCTTAGTCCTTCGTCCTTTGTCCTTTTTGTCTGTGCACCATGCTAAATGCTGACATGTCTGGGGGTATAAGGTCCACCCACCATAGACTGGACATGGGGCCTAGATGACATCTCTAATCTCAAGACATTCCAGTCGTTGCTTCATGGGGATCAGAAGTCTCTCATTGCTCCTTTTGGCAACACCTTTTTAATGCAATCCTTGAATTTAAATTAGCTTTTTTTAAATGCAGTATTTATGATTCTATTCTTTCATGTAATAATATCAGGGAAAGTCTATTAAACTAAAGTAACTAAAATGAAATTGCATTTAATCTGGCAAATTAAAAGGTAACAAGTTTATTTATTTATTTATTTATCTAAAGCTAACAGATAATTATAAACTAAGAGTTAACTTAGTTTTAAGAGCTATATCTACTTAGGCGTTCTGCTCACATAACAAATTAATGCATTCCATATAATCCTTTTTTTATGGGATTTCTATAACTAAAATCAATTCCTTACTGGATTTGTGGAACTAAGTTTGAGTGGGGAAAAAAGTAGAAAAGCCATAGTCCTCGATTGTGGAATACCCGGTATGCAAAGCACACACCAACTAAGAAACCAAACCATATTTATATTAAATATATTTATCATCTTAATGTAGATATATTTTATATACTTAAATTTGTAATGCCTTGATTAAGGATTTCTTTGCTTCAGTGTTTATTTTTGCACTTTTTCTAACATTTCCAAGAGATATATATATACATTCCCCCTTTTAGCACTTAGTTATAATATATTTATATATGCCATATCTAATCAACACTTAACTATAGTTATTCAGGCCTTTAAATAATACATGTGACCCCCTTTTGTTGGATTTATTCCGATATTAATTCCACACAACCGCAAAATTAAACAAAAAGTAAAGGGTGGAAGGAAAAACTTGAGGTAAACTTGAGGAAACTTGTGAAAACTTGGAAGAGAAAAGAAGGAGAAGGAGAAGGACTCCTCCCTCGATCGATGGTGGCCATCGTTGTGTCACTTAATGCGGCCACCGGAACTTGGCGGCACTTTCATCCATATTCATTAAGCCCATCCCCCCACCACGGGGAAGGAAAAAGGAAAACTATTTTTATTAATTTTACAAATGAACACTTTGCTTTCCAATTCGATGTGGTTCGACGACACAGACTCTCTTTCATCACCCTCTCTAACCGAAAACCCAACCCCCCATCATCATCATCATCATCATCATCATCATTTTCATCGTTTGGCGTCGTTAGGAGAAAGTTTTCCCAAGCCGCACAAAATGATTGCTGTCACTGATAAGGCGCCCGACAATGGTCCAAAAAACGGGAGTTTCGTTTAGATGAAAGCTGAAAAGTTTTCACTACTTTCGGTTTTAATTTCACAAATTGCATTTGCCAATGTTATTTATTCAATCCGTTAGCCTGGCTAAGAGAGAGAGAGTGAGAAAGGAGCCTGGTGGCTCGATTATTAACACGATTCCTGGTTATATATATAAAACCCCTACCTTCCTACCTGCCATCACTCCCAGCTCTAATCGATTTTTGATGAGATTTTTGTATTCAATTTTGGTTTTGATAGGCGAACGATGAACGCATCTCGCGGAGCTGAAGCTGGAGCGTGGCGTTAATGGCATCGGGAGGAGGAGGAGCAAAAGGACCTCGAGCATCTTGCCGAAGCACCTGGAGAACGGAAATTCTAAAGGGAAAGATGCTGTGCGACCATGACAACGATGCCATTGACATAATTCTGCAGGGCTTTTGTTTGGATTGCCAATAGCAAGAAGCTGGCAATGGAGGGATGATTGGGGGTAACCTCTTTCTTAACCCCCCCACAGCTAAGTAAAAAGGCAAAAGGCCCCTACTTCTTTGTTTGACTCTCAGTTGATTTACGCAGTTGCTCTCATAACTACTAGAACTAGGGGTTGCATTTCTCCCCTATTTAGGAATGGCAATAGGGGAAGCTTTTGTGCGCGGGAAATTTGTGCAATTCGCTGAATGAATCTCATTGCGCTCGATGTGATGCGAGGGCATTATTTCACTTCTGTCGAGGGTTCTCTCAATTCGCTGGATTGTGCGGTCTGGCCAGAGTGAGAAAAAGAGAGTTTTATTTAAAAAGAGGGGCTACGGACTTTCCCCGATTAGCCCGTAAACTCAAATGGGAACTAAAGTTCAGAGTGAAGTAAATAAATCTTGGGCGTGATTTGTATGGCTTGTGAGGGGGGAAATGGGTCACTCGTTTACGTTTATCCTTCGCCAATATATTTTCTCACTTTTTCTCCTCTTGTGTGATTTCGCATCCGTGCAAATCACATTAGTTGCCGCGATTCCTGGCAATATATAAAGAAAAAGGGGTGAAAAAATCACAGACCAGTGACTGACTGATTGAGCCTGAACCTCACAGATTGCTTCGCCAGGCTCTCCTTAACCCATTCTCCTTTCCCCTCGCCACTACCCAACCCCAACCCTCTTCTGGTCCTCATTGAAATTGGCAATTTCGTTTTCATTCAACGCTGACGAAATGCATTTCCTGAAATGAACAGCGACAAGGAGCAGAGCAGGGCAGCCCAAGCCGGAGATGGAGTTGTGCAAGGGTCATGGATAAGAGAGAGGATGGATGTGCCTGGCACAGGGACTGAGCATCAAGGACAGGACTCTGTGGCTCTGCGAAATGTCAAACGTTGCCGCAAGGACGACAGCCGGAAGTGCAGCATGGCCAACGGGCAAGGCCCAAGGCCTTGTCAGCTGAAGAAGAGGATACCGAGAGTGCCATTCCACAATAAGTTTTAATATATTGGCATGGACTTAAGTCCGGGGCCAGGTGCTGCATATGTCCAGGATTCTCTGTTATTGCAAGGACTGCTGCAGTGGATGACTGTCAACTGATTAAGACATCCTGGCTAATTCTCTTGCAGCTGTGACAACGACACTTTAATCTGTATGTATTCCCAACGGAGCTAAAGGAGAAGGTCAAGGGGCATAAACACACACATGAATGTCAGGTGTTTCCACTTACAAGGGATATTCACGCCTTTAAAGTGTCCTTCTTAATAATATTGCGGTTTTGTTTTCATTCTAAATGAAGCTGGTTTCTTAATTAAAATGAGATGACTTTTGATCAAGAAACACAGCTTCTGTTGGCAGCTGTTTGAAAATTTATACTTGAGAGACATCTCAAGACTTGAGACCTGCAGAGTTGGGGGTATTCCTTAAGGATATCAGGATGTTCACATTCCAAATGTATGCAAGTTTCAAGCTGGATCTCCCTTGGCCCATGGAAGCCGATTAGGTTGCACTATTTGCCAGTTTGAACAGGAACATGGAAACGCAATCCCAGGACCAAGGACTCGTTCCTACTTTCCCATCTACACCGAAAGAGAGAGAGACTGACTTTTTGGAGTGCCAGGTTTAATTCCCCATTCAGTGGGGGATTCTGCTGCCCAAAACTTTGCTCGCTTTATCTCAAAACATTGTCCGCTAATCTGCTCCAACTGGGAGGTGGGTTTGAGGCAGGTGGAGGAGATTTGTGTGGCTCAACTCGAACTGTAACCTTCGGTGCTGTGCGTTCTCCATCTCTCTTTCCTTGAGTGACCCCAAAAAAAAAAACTAAATCGAAACTTGGCGCTGTTGCAGTTGCAGGACAATCTCGTTCCGGCAGCCGAACTTTGTGCCAGGCAACAATTCAAATAGAGGAAAACCCCAACCCAAACCCAAAGCAAATATATTTCTTTACCCCCAACCTCAATTTCAATACAGGACTCTGTCCTGTTTTGGTTGTTTATCTTTCTTTTTTCTTTTGGGGGTTACACTTACCGAAAGTCCTCGAATTACAACATGAAACAAGTCGATGCCGGAGACACCTGCAAGAGAGAGAAGAGAATGAAGTAGAAATATCCATTAGTTGAGTTCTTGACAAGGCTCTCGGTTCATTACACTTCTCCCTGCCACTCCCACTTTCAAAGAAGTATTAATGATGCAACTGTCAAAAGTTTTTCGGCCCCGGGACTGTACCTGCTAATGAGGACTGTACCTGCTTCGATATTTTTTTTTGGCTAAATTGAAAAGAATTAATGATGAAACCCAAGTCAAAGACATGCCAAACATATCACGTAAAACATTAAAATAACGCAAGGATGCTGCTGAGAATGTTTGTTGTTGTTCAACAAAAGATAAAATGATAATGAAATGAGTCGGTGGGGGGACAGGCGGCGAAAACAATTAAAAGAATTTATTGCTCGAGTTTAATGAATTTTCAGCTTGTTTGCACGCAAACACATTGGGGAGAGGGAGTGTGTGGAAAATGGAGCCTGTGCCAGCTCAGCATTTTCAATTCAACCATTTGATGCATGTCCTGGGGGAGGGTTGGGCCTACAAAAAAAAAAAAAAAAAAACAGAACAAAAAGAAAGAAAAGCCAAGCCAAGCGCCACAGGTGTAAAACGCTTACGTATATAAATCTCCCGTGTTGCTGCGTGTGAGAACGAGAATGAATGTTATTGTTGAACATTGCTTAATGAAGTTTTTGTTTCTACCCCCTCCGCATCCCTCCCCTGATCCTGTTCACCTTTCCGCTCGTTTTGGCCCTGGATTTCGGCAGCTGCTTAGACAGCAATTGATGGGCAGCCCCAGGATATGGAAGCCAGGTTCCAGCATCCAACACAGCTGAGCCTCACATCCTTGGACTGAGAGCGAGAATGAAATGCTTTTGTTTTGCATTTCTCTTACATTTTTTTTCTGTTTTGTCTGTTTGGAATTTATTTGCTTTTGGGGCAATTAACAAACAAAAAGTTGCCGGGACAGGAATCTCACTGAGCTTCTTCTCTATATAATCTGCGAAATTGAGTACAGTTTCATTCGGAAAGTTACCTGTTCTTAGTGAAAGTTCTTAACCCGAAATTTCTGTTAAATTCCACAGAAACAAAGGGCAGGTATTAGCCTTGAAAGCTCTGTTTTTTAGCTTATATGAATCATTCATAGGGTTTATCTTAGAGTTTTAAGACACCTTTTTATCTTAACCTTTGGCAAACTTTAAATAAATATATTATCTCATTGAACTTGACTTTCTTTTGATGTAATTATTACAAAATATATATTATTAGGCAGATTTTTTAATGGTTTGATGTCCTGTAATGCAAAATTGGCCACTGAAACTGATGTTTTGTATGTATGTAGGTATGTAGGTTTATCCTAGTTCTGTTTTCAATGGAAAACAGGCTCAGGTTCAGCAGGCTCTGTCACTGAAGGATAACCAGAGACAGGCAAGGAGCAGTCAGGAGAGGAACAGGTCAAGAAAGGAGCTGTCAGGAAATGAGCAACCTGTCAAGGAGCAGGTCAAGTCGCCTCTTGGCTTCAATTATGAAACAATAAACAATTTACTTTGGCTTTTCTTTATATCTCTCCCTCTCTCTCCCTCTTTCTCTCTCTTTTCTTCTAACGCCATTTTGCCGGAAGCGGATGTTTGATAAATTCCCTGCGTCATTTTGCGTTTTCTCATTTCTCTTTTTGTTTCACCTTGTCAGAGCATTTCCATGATAACTGTTGATAACGACAAAGGCCCTTGGCTGACGCAAAAAAAAAACAACAACCTAATTTTAATTTAGTTTGGTTTTCCCCCAGCAAATCCCAAAATTTCCCCCACCCTCCATCAGGTTTGTTAATTTATTGCCCGGCTTAGCCCGGGGAATCCCCCATCTTCCCGAGCTTTCGGCTTGGCAACTGTTCGCAGGGCAACGGCTAAAATAACTTGGCCTTGCCAGCAAAGTGTTGCATTGGTTATTGATTAGGCCCTGTTGTGTTACCTTTTTCTCTCTTTTTTTTTTTGTTAGAATTTATCGAAAGAGCCATTATTTGTAGCGAAGGGGGGAAAAAAATGGCAACAATAATTGAAATGAAAACTTGAAAAAGAGGGAAAACATGAGCACTGACAAGGCAAACACAAAATGGAAATGCAAAAAAACGTAAAAAAATGGAAATTGAACAGTTAAGTAATAAAGGGGGATTTCCATTTCCAATGCAGAATGTATAGTTGAGAGTTTTTCTTTGTTCAAATAAATATTTAATTCAAGAGAATAAAGCTTATTTTGATTAGAAATCGATTAGGACATATTTTACGTCTGAGAGTAATGGAATTTTCCAGTAACTTGATAAAAATTATAAGAAAAAATACTTGAGGGTCTTATGTTTTTCTTAGTGTACAAAAACTGTGGGCGGAGATGGTTACCAGAGACGTTTACGCAGTTAAATCCAGGCCAAAGGCAAAAGTCAATTTGCCAAGGTTGTCTGGCTTTAGCCAAAAATAAAGAAAGAGCCGAAAGCCAAGGACCAAAAGAAGCTGGAAGAATGGCAAAAAAAAGAAAGGCAGAATGGCAAAAGAAAGCAGCCCCTGGGCAAGTCGTAAATCTTTCCACTTTCCACTTGGCAATTGGCACTGGACACAGGACACTGGACACTGGACACTGGACACCACTGAGCACTTGGCACTTGGCACTGACCACCATCCTACATCTGCTTGGCCTTAAATATTCATTTGTCCGGAGTTGAGAAATTGAAGGATTCCCGATTAGGAGAGTCCGATGCCTGAAATTTGCTGACAGTAGACGTGGGCATCCTTGATATCAACGTTTGCACAGCCATCGATGGGGCATCGATGTTGGTCAGGTGGATATTAAGGCTTAATTTATGCAACGATTTCTTTGCGCAACGTGTTTATCGAGCGACTGCTACACACTCACAACATTGCTGCAAGGCAAGAAGCTGCCAGGATAGCAATATCCTTGCAATTACTCGGACCCCCCAAAAAAAAAAAAAAATAAATAAATGGAGAGTCCTCCGTTGGCTGTGATTTCAACCCTTAGTAACAGTTTCCCCTCAGTCACTTTCGGTTGTTAGTCGATTTTTCTTGCTTAAATCTACAGAACATCAAGCGAGGACAGCTAAACGAATCTCACTTCCTGTCGCATCAGCAGGGGAAAATTCCAATATTCGACATTATCAGTTGAAACAAACTCGAATCAATGCTCTTTCTGGGAAATTTTGTATAGTTTTGGCCAAGTTTATTAAGGGGAAAACTAAAAGTAAAGATGGGTAATGTATATTACTTCTGGAGAAATTGTAGCTACTCAGGACTAACTTTAAAATATAATATAATATAGACAAAGAGTCACTCTTTGTGACCATTCGTGAGTATTCCCTTTTCAGGGTATTCGAGGACATTTGGTAATTTGCAGAGAGAGAGTGAATGAGGGAGAGATGCACATGGCATATGGTTGAATGCCTGGATGACTTGGTGGCCTGGTTGGCTGGCTGCTCCCACGAGTGCTGAAAGCCAGAAACCAGGCAGCCAGGCAGTCCTGGAGGCGAATCCTGGAGGGTATCCTGGAGGGTAGATTGCATTTTACTCGAGTGAACTGGGGCGCAGGATAAAACACGAGAGTCACAGAGTCTCGAAACTGCGGCTGCCGTTGTTGTGGTTTTGTTGCAGTTGCTGCTGCAGCGTTGTTGCAGTGTTGCAAGTGAGAATGCATCATTAGTGCAAGCCAAGCTGCTTTGGCTGGAATACATGGTGCACTCCCCGAGGAGATATCCCAAACCCGAATCCGAATCCAGGCGAAACCATGTGGCAAATGAGGCTAAAACACAAGTGAGAAGCCAGAAAGGAGATCTCTGTCTCAGTTCAGTTGCAGTTTCTATTGCTGCCAAGTGGCAGTGATGGATAGATGAGGCCAGGATAGGAGCAATCCTTTCCCACTCCTAGAACTTTAGTTGAGGCAGGATTTTACACACTTTAGTAGTATCACAGATACTAATATTATCTTGAATAGTTAGTGTTTATGTGGTGTTATTGAATGGCTTCAGTTTAAATGATTTAAGCAACAGAAAACTCAAATGGAGACACAAACTAAAGTCAGCTTCTGTTTTCTTTGCCTCTAATCTCTTTAATAATAATCTCTGCTCCAACTATATGACATAAATCTCTTCTTTATATTATATACATGCTATTTCCTTCTATATCTGGTTTCTGTATCGGGGTACTTTATGCCATCGAGAGCTGTCAGAAGCATCCGCGGGCCATAAACAACCATGGATGCGTATGTGAGTGGGCGAGAACACAGAAATAGTTCAAGAGCCTACTTTTGGGGGCAGGCCAAAGCACTTAGGCCCCAAGTCCTTGCCCCTCGAATCCTGGCAAATCATTCCCCCTTCTACGCTTTGGGTCATGCCACATTGCATCTAGCCGCGATTTTCGCAATGAGTTTCACTTAACTTTTGCGTCACTTAAATGTAATTTGTGGAACTTTTTGGCGAGGCTTTTGGCTGTGTGTGTGTGTGTGTGTGTGTGTGTGGGAGGATTTGTACTGCAAGGACTAGAGTGTATATGTGTGTGTGTGAACTGTTGTTACTTGTTCGATTGCATTCGCTGGCGGCGGCATCGCCTCGTTCGCCACTTTTGAGTGCATTTCAGTGTAATCAAGCGCCCACTTCAGGCGCCCATAAACCCAACCCCCCCTTGCCACACACAACCTCTCCCCCTGTCCCCTTACCCCTTAGATTTCTATGTGTGTGTGTTGCAGTTTCATGCTTTTTAGCATTTCATCATTTGTTACCAGCTTTTGCCTGCCTGCCAGGCTCTATTTTTGTTTCGTTTTGTAAACTCAGCATTTCGATTTAGCGTTGTGTGTTGTGTTGTGTGTGTATGGTGTTGGCATTGTTTTCTATATATTTTTGTTATATTTTTTTTGTGGCAAACTCCTGCTGCAGTCACCCCTTACTGCGCCTTGCCAGTGTTGTGTGTTCGAGTGGCCTTTTAATGCAGCCGCTTAGCGAGCGTGTTGCAAACTCGAGTCGAGTTGTTGCTGCTGCTGC